GTTATTTTTTTTTTATATTGACAAAGGAACCGCATTGACGCTGTAGTAAATCGGTTTTATTGTAAAATATATTTAAAGAAAAACCTTTTTTTATGTAATTTTTATATAAAACCTTTCAAGCTTTTTAGTTCTTTAAAAAAAAAGATTTTCCTTATATTGATTGACTGAACTCTCTGTCGTTGAGAAAAAAGAGGAGTTTAGTTTTACTTAGGTATTTCAATAATACTGTGTAAAATAATAAGTTGTGGAATATTTTCCAAAGCTTCAAATGTTGTTTTCTTAATATTGTACAGAAAATGCAATTAAGTCTTTTATTATTGTTCAACAATTTTTAGAATATTCCATATCATTATAAAAAGTGATGGACGCCTGCTTACGTGACAATGGATGCCATCAGAAGGAAAATATCTATATTCATTAAATAGTTCTTATTTTTTTATTGCTTGGATGTGTGGCCGAGCTCACAGCCCACCTGGTGTTAAGTGGTTACTGGAGCCCATAGACATCTACAAAGTAAATGGGCAACCCACCTTGAGATATAAGTTCTATGGTCTCAAAGAATAGTTACAGTGATGATAGTGAATGACAATGCACAATGGTAAACCATCATTAAATTCATATCATTAAATTTATACAACTGGAATATGTTTTTTTCATGTGAAATGGAATTTAATCCATATTATAATTCAATGACCCTACAATGGTTCGTTTTAGATCACTCTTTGGCATTAGTTAGTTTAGACATTAGTAACAGATAATACTAAAATATATTTGGGATTTAGGGTATTATTTATTTTATATTTGAGTTATTCTAGTCTCATAACAGGCGTACGCAACACGATGCTCAGCAATGAGCGAGCGATTGAAGGATGAGGAAGAGTCTCTTAAATGTTTCCAATAACACTATCTATTTGAGGACGATTGAACGCACAATGTCGATTAACAAGATTCTCCGCATATCGAGAACCTTAAAACTTTTTATTACGCCGAACTAAAGTCGTAAAGCGATTTTATTAAAATGTTTAGTTCAAAGGAATACCAAATTTACCAAGGCATCATTATAACTGGTTGAAACGTAGCAACGAGAATTGGCAGTCTAGCAACAATAAAATTTAATGCTCTGACATTGTATTTGTTCCGCGAAGAGCTTTCGTACCTATCTGTTTTTACTAATAACTAGTGGTCCCGCAGTAGTCGAAATTCGACTATAACTAATTGGAATTGTAATTTTGTACACTATTATGATTGTATTTTATACTTCTATAATCACAAATTTCGCCAAGACTACACTATAAAAAATATTAACGAAGACAAACAATATTTAATCTATTCTCAATTTGACAACAGACGTCAAGAACAAAAGTTTGACAATAAATAGTATGCATGCGTGTGTGCGTCAAATACATGGTATGTAGTGTGTGTAATGTTTTCTTTATTGATTTCATGTATTTTTTATGCATTATTTTAAAAAAATATTAGTATTATGCACTTCTTCTCTATATTCTTTATAAGTGTGGAAAATTTTATACTCCTCCGTCCGCGCAATTTTCGTAGAAAGGGATTCAAAGTTTTTGCTTCACGTATTAATATATAGAAGATTTACGTAATATAGTAATATTGAGCACAGTAGTAATAATTGGTGGACGTTAACAAGCATATGTAATAGTTCTAAGGTCTTAATCCGGGAGGAGTTAAAAAAACCGGAGTATCCAAATCTGTTGTTTTAAAACTATTAAATTTTACTTATAACGGCTAATGTTTCTGTCACTGAAAAGAAATTGTAATGCAAATGAATACTAACAGAACCGGCCTGCGACCTTTTTTTTTATTGCTTAGGTGGGTGCACGAGCTCACAGCCCACCTGGTGTTAAGTGGTTACCGGAGCTCATAGTTGAGATATAAGTTCTAATATCTCAGTATAGTTACAACGGCTGCCCCGCCCTTCAAACCAAAACGCATTACTGTTTCACGGAAGAAATAGGCGGGGTGATGGTATCTACCCGCGCGGACTCACAAGAGGTCCTACCACCAGTGAAACTTTTCAGTTGAGTATTTTTTATGAGGTTTGTACACATCATCGCGTCTTGAGCGATTATTTTTTTAGTAGCGTGCGTATTGTGTGTGTGGGCTTGCACGGGTCAACTGTAGCAAGTTCCAGTTTAAAGAGTGGTACTAACATTAGACATTACAATAAAGACTTTCTCCTCACGTTTTGAGGTGGGCAGCATCGGTGGGTTTTATCAAGAGAAAAAAATGTCATACAATTTCCAAGAAATTTATAAGACTATTCCGTGGTGTAAAATAAGACATCTTTACAAGGTTAATCCAGATTGTGTAGCTTCTTCGAATGCGTATTTTCTTTCAGTTTTATATTTATAACGACAAAATTTGAGTACTGCCATATTTTTTGTACTCAATTCCATAAATATTTCAATTTAAAGGAATAATCTTGGATACTTAAGTAAAATGAAAAGAATAAATGTAAGGATCAACCGTATAAGTAGTGTTTTTTAATTAGGTCGTAATTACTTAATCAATCAAATACCAGTAAATGAGATAAGTATCAAATTTGACTAAAATCATTGGCAGGATGTCGATAGTTACGTTAAGAAAATTTTATGCGTATTCTTAGAAGACATTTTTAATGATCATTATAGAGCTGTGCCGTAAACTTTTGAATTGATGTATGTATTTTATAGAATTCATGTATGTAATCTTTTCAAGTATTATAAGATTTGTGTATCTTTTCAATTTGTTTTTTTTTTTGCCTTTGTAGNATTTGACTAAAATCATTGGCAGGATGTCGATAGTTACGTTAAGAAAATTTTATGCGTATTCTTAGAAGACATTTTTAATGATCATTATAGAGCTGTGCCGTAAACTTTTGAATTGATGTATGTATTTTATAGAATTCATGTATGTAATCTTTTCAAGTATTATAAGATTTGTGTATCTTTTCAATTTGTTTTTTTTTTTTGCCTTTGTAGGCAAACGGGCATACGGCCCACCTGATGATGAGTGGTTACCGTCGCCCATGGACTTCAGCAATGCAAGGGGCAGAGCCAAGCCGCTGCCGTTTTGTTTATTATAGATTAAATGTATTTTTTAGTTTAATTTATTTTTAGTTTCTCAAAAAGTACCTAATATTATTTATTGTTTATTTAAATTGCCAAAATTTTTTACGTATTCAAACTAGTTTGAAGCAAGATTTCTCAGAACAGTTTAAAACTTTTGCTTATTTTTATTTGTTTGCAATAATAAACAAACACAAGGGATATTTTTTACTAGTGGTAGGACCTCTTGTGAGTCCGCGCGGGTAGGTACCACCGCCCTGCCTATTTCTGCCGTGAAGCAGTAATGCGTTTCGGTCTGAAAGGTAGGGCAGCCGTTGTAACTACACTGAAATCTTAGAACTTATATCTCAAGGTGGGTGGCGCATTACGTTGTAGATGTCTATGGGCTCCAGTAACCACTTAACACCAGGTGGGCTGTGAACTCGTCCAACCATCTAAACAATAAAAAAAAGATCTCCTGATTCTTGAAAATACTATCAACAGTTAAGCTCATAACAATTAATATCACAATTCCGCAGGCAACGCAAGCAAAGCTGTATCTATAGTTCTATTCTCTTCTTATTATTTTATATTAGTGTAACTTATATTTTAACCGCATTTCTCAAGGTCATGTGCTACAGCGAATGATCTCCAACAACCAATTAACCTAGACACTTACACGTGAGCCCATTTATCCATTTATTCAGGTTGTGAAAAAATATTGAATTGGTTGTATAAGATGAAAATGCATTCCTGGATTGGAATCAACGGCTTCGCATTTGTTATACGAAACATCACGTGTTGATGTATTTATACATGTGTCTTCTGTGTATTCAGACCATAATCCCTTTGACACTGTATAGGTGCATCGCGACACACGCCGGCTGGCGCGACACGTCAACTTGACGTATCTGTGTCGAGGTCCGTATAATACACTAGTGTCATGTATTTCGGTAGGTTACGCAACCGTTTTGATCTGTGATATCGTCATAAATCAATCTTTTGTGCTTCACCTCAAAGTCGATGTCATTAGGCCATACATATTTTAACCGGGAAGATGAAAATCATATTGTAGGAGTTTTCGTGTTATAGTGGTCCTCAGGTAGTCAAAATTCGACTTTAATTAATCTAAATTATAAGTTTGTTGTAAGTTATGATTCTATTTTCCAAGACTAATAAACTTCAATAATCACAGATTTCGCCAAGACTACATACACTGACAAATATTAATAAAGATAAACAATATTTAATCTATTCTCAATTTGACCACAGACTATAAGCAATAAGAAGAGTTTGATAATAAACAAATAATATGCATGCGCGTGTGTGTGTGTGTGTCAAATCCATGGTAGTGTTTGTAATTTTTATTTTATTGATTTAGTGTATTTTGATGTATATTTAAAAAAAAAAAACATTCTGCACTCCTTCTCTGTATTCTCTATAAGTTTGGGATTCGGATTGGGATTTCATACTCATCCGCCCGCGCAATTTTCGTAAAAAGGGGCACAAAGTTTTTGCTTCATCTATTAATATATAGATATTCTCAGCAGTCTCTGGACTTTCAGTTCAATCTACGACATTAAAATCTGTTCACGAAATCATGTATGAAGTATTTTGGACATAATGATATGAATGGTATTGGAATGCATTCCTGTCCAAGGTGATGACCATCTAAGTGTAGTGTAGGGTGAATTTAAAGTTATCTGAAATAAATTCTAGTTAAGCCAAACATATTAAAGCCTAATCACAATGTAATTCGGCGCATTTCCTGTCAGATAGGAATACATCCTTAGTCATCTAAGGGATAAAGAAAACTCAAACGAGTCAATAACATTTTAATTCTCAGTCATGCATACAAAAAAGCCATCGAGTGCGGTCACCGTTCACGCGCGACTAATCTCCCATACTACCCCAGAAGTCTATCTCCTCTTCCTCCTCCTCGATTACCTCTTTACATTCCTTGGGCTCTTCCTCAAAAGCTTCAAGCTTTTGGTATTCTAAAGCTTTAACTTCGTTATCATCTGCAGCAGTCTCGACTGAGGCTTCTACGTTCGTGCTTTCGTTTCTTCTTTCTCTCGAATGACTTCTGGAATGAGAACGCGCTGATAAATTAGGAGCGCTTCCGAACGCGCCGACCTTATCTTCTTTGTTCATACGTCCGAACTCCGCCTCTTCGAGCGACGTGAACATGTTTAGTTCTTCCTCGCGGGACGCACGAGAATCTTTCGACGATGTCGACGAAGACGACCTTCGCTTTTTGAAACTCCTGCGTCTCCCGCTTGGGTCGTGTCGTTGCAAAGGTCGATACTTAATTCCGTCAAGTGATCTTAAACAAAACATGAACATAATACAGTGAGTGATGGCTCTCTGATAACGTGCATGGCTCGATGGATGTGTACAATGTGGCTACGGCACTACAAGCGCGTGACAAGTGTGTGGCGAACTCATCGGATATTAACCTGAGAAAATCTTCGTTGTACACCCCGCCGTTGTCGTCGTCATATGATTGAAAATGGATCTCTGGTGTCGGAGGCGGACTCTGGGGACTGTACTCCCAGGTCATTTTATCCTTGGTAGTTTCTTCGTCGGTAACATGATTCAAGTTGATAGGAGTTGGCGATCGTCTGCTTTGTCCAACGTTGATAGATTCCGAGCTATTAGATAGGATAGTTTTCGTTCTAGTTGGCGAATACCTTTCAGGTTTGAAATCGCCATTTGGAATCGTGTGGTCTTCGACTGATTCTTGACCAAAGCTAGAGATTCTCGTAGAAAATAACAGGGGAGTAGAATCGGATTTTTCATTATAGTACTTTACTTCGGCGGATTGGAGTCTTCCTTTCTTATCTTCCGTCAAACATATGTATCCTTGGCCGTAATCGATCCAGCTGTTTGACGTTTTAGCGGATTTTCTGAGGAGATCTGTGTAGTGCTCAACAAGATCTTCGAAGCCTGGTTGATTGTCAGGTATGGTACCGCTTAGGATGTGTCTAACACATTCAACAGCTTCATGGACACCAGCGTAGGTGATCACGATAGATACCATAAGTCCCATTGTAATATATCAGCACTTAACTAAAGGAATGTTTAGGGTTTTTTGATTGAACTCAACTAAAAGGGGAGGGATGTCTGTAGCGATATATCGCTGTGGCAAGATTTGAACAACTGAAATTAAAGTGTTATTGTGTGCCAATGAATTCAATCCAGATTTAGACTAGCTTGGCGTTGCCCAAAGTATTACATTTTACACGATCGCTCAAGGCTGAGGTCGCTGTGTTTTCCGAACCGGTAATATATGTGTTCCAATCAATTAATAGATTGGTAACAAATCTTTTTAATAGTCAGTTAATCTTATGTGGCGTAGGTGGACAATTCACAGTAGAATCTCCATTATCCAACAAAAATACATTATGTTGTCTTGGAAGAATGCTTATCAGAAATTTATTGTAAAACATTTTTTTAGAAATTTCTTATTGATATATCGACTGTTTGACTTCGACATATTTATTTATTTATTGCGTACACGACGTAGGGAAACAGTCTTCTAAAAACATTCTGTTTGCTCTACTAATTCACTAACTACTACTCTAATCGTTACGGATTGATTTATGTTGTTGCAAATATATTATGCATATTAAAATTAAGATCCCTCTACATAGTTAAAACTTGGCTTTAACAACAAGGTGATATGATGCGTGTGACATTTGTTAGCCATATGGATGTTATTATCTGTAAATAAATCATTTGTAAATTGAGCCAATGAATGTTTGCTATTATCATAGGCGTCTTGGATTTACGTTTTCTACCTGGTCTTAAACTTTAATTTAAAAATAATAGTTTAAAGAAACTAACAAAATACGTTTTTATAGAAAATTCAACTAAAAAATAGAAAATAAATTTTAAGAAATTTGAAAAAAAAAATTCTTACACATTTTTAATTCAAATTTATTAAAATTTATTTTCTATTTTTAGTTGGATTTTCTTTAAACAAGTATTTTGTTAGTTTTTTAAACTATTATTTCTTTTTCATTTTTTAGTTGAATTTCAATTTTTTCAATATTTTTTTAATGTTGGTTTTGTCATCGATCCTTAATAAGTTTACCAAATTTCGAGTTAATCCGACGTTTTGAAGGGGGTCAAAATCATGTTCAAAGATTTCGTTACATACTAAAATACTAACATACATACGTCTGAAGCTAATAAAAGCGTATTAAAAATAGTTAATTTTACGAAAGACTTCATTGGTGGCAGCGTGTAATCATCCTACGTGAGATTTGTTTTGCTGATATTATGGCATCTTTTGAGACCACAGGGGTCGGTACTACCATCCTGCCTATGTCTATCTAACCTAACACTTATGCGTTCCAGTTTAAGGGATGCAACAATTACGGTTTGAGTCCATAGACATCACACCGTCACTACCGCTATTCGCTTTGATACTAGAAGTCTAAGACTCCAGCTGTAAAGATTACGCGAATTATAATTTTGCGGGTTTGATTTTCGTTATACTCCCACTGAGTTTCTCGCCGTATCTTCTCAGTCGGTCGCGTTTCCGATCCGGCGGTAGAAGCACTGCTCTTGCTAGGTTCAGTGTTAGCGTCACTCCGTTTTGAGCCCCGTGAGCTCACCTACTAGTTAAGGTTACGCTGAAATAGCCTCTAAAGGCTATCAGCTTAGGTATTCTTTCATGGCGTAAGTCCTTCGTGCACATGTGTTAAATACGTAGTTCATTAGATAAATTGTTACCTGCCAGCGGGATTCCTTATCGTTTAGGCCACGATAACTTCCTTTTTTTCTTTTTTATTTCTAGTTTCTTAGTTGAGTTTAGTGAAGGAATATAAATAAAGGAAATTTAGCAGAAAAGCGGCAATAAATTTTAATTTTAATTCATTACTTTTTTTTTATAAATTATACACGTGTCAATGACCTTTAAAAAACCCGTTGCACACGTAACTATCATGTACTATAATATCTGTCGCTCATAAAACGCGCGCCGGATAAAATTCGCAGATTGTTTTGAAATAATGCCAGACCGAATAGAACTCAATGGCCGCGACGGTTCGCTTTTAAAAAAATAGTATCTATTCCGATGTTTTTTTTTTTTAAATGAAAAACAATCTATTTTCATAAACAGCAGCGGAAAATTGTTTTAATGTTATTTTCTTGGCTTAAATAGGCTTATATTAAAACTGATGACGCCTTATTTATTATTGTTCAAATCAATTATATGTATGGCGGAAAATTCCACACACGAAATCGGATTTAATACTTGGTGTTAGTCGAAGAGATATTAAGATTTTATTGAATCTCAAATCTCAGGGTGGTGGTGTCCTCGTTGATGTCTATAAGTTCCAATAACCACTTATCACTAGCCCGTTTGCTCATCTGATTACGAAAGTAAGGCTCCGGTAACCATGATCAATGCCATAAGAATTTTTTTTATCTTAAATTAATTTATCCGTAAAAGTTATATTAAGAATTTTTTTTATTACTGGTTATGTTTAAAATAGCATCAGCCATGAATATTTGATTTTAATAAAATTAAAATAAAACTTAAATTATAGACCTCCTCATATCTGTATAATAACGGTAAATTTTAGAATGCCTATAACGTGCTTATAACTATTTAATTTAAAACATGAAAAAAAGTTCATTTTAATAATAATGTACCAATTAATTTTATAAATTACAGATTTCGTTCCAGATTCCATTCCAGAGTCCGTTTGTTTGAACAACAAATAATTTCAAAAATATATTAATCTATATATATAAAAGAAAGTCGTGTTAGTTACACTATTTATAACTCAAGAACGGCTGAACTGATTAGGCTGAAAATTGGTGGGGAGGTAGCTTAGAACCAAGAGAAGGACATAGGATAGTTTTTATCACGTTCCCGTGGGACTTGACATAAAACGTGATGTAACAAAACGCAACTGATATGGAATAACAAAATGCAGCTGACAGCTAAACGTAATGTAGTCTATGGTTAATTATAATAGAATTTTGAAGTTGACCGGTTGATGTGTTTGTTTCGAATTTCTATTTATTGTGCCGAGATAGGTAATCAGTAAGAAAGTCATGTCGCGACCGGCACGATCAAATCTTTCCCGACGAAGCCGTAATGCAGCTAGGATTCGAAACATTGCGAGTGAAAGGACTGAAGAAGAACAAGAAAATACAATAACAATAATAAACAAATACATGGCCAATAAAGTATCATTAAAATACTTGCTATTTTAATTTATATTAATTATCCAAATAAAAAATTGACCATGATAAAATCGAAAATCCGCTCATTTATTGCCTCTATAAGTAAGGCGAAACAAAGTTCGCCGGGTCATCTAGTTTATTTTAAATCTAATATTTCTGTACGGAATGTTAATGTTTTTGTCTGCAATCTACTTCCTCGCGCGTCTTATCCAGTTGTATTGAAAATTTTTATATAAATATTTATATTTAAATTTACTTTTATACTGTGAAATTTGGGATCTTCTTTTCATAGTACCATTAATTTACGACAGTTGGCGCCCGCGTACTTTTAATAATTGGGGGTTATTTATATATTTGGCGATAGCAACGATGTGTGCTGATCTATGCTTCCAAAACCATAACACACATAAATAATAATTGAAAATGGTTTTTTTATTGCGTCGATGGCTGGACGAGTTCACGGCCCACCTGGTGTTGAGTGGTTAGCGAAGCCCATAGACATAATGAAACACACCTTGAGATATGAGTTCTACCGTATCAGTATGTTTTCAAATGAAATACGTACTTAACGAATGTTCACGATTGACTTCCACGGTTAATAACATCGTGTAATAAAAATTAAACCCGCAGAAATATTATTTGCGTAATTACTGGTGGTACGACCTCTTGTGAGTCCGCACGGGTAGGTACCACTACCCTGCCTATTTCTGCCGTGAAGCAGTAATGCGTTTCGGTTTGAAGGGTGGTGCAGCCGTTGTAACTCTACTGAGACCTTAGAGCTCTTATCTCAAGGTGGGAGGCGGCATTTACGTTGTAGATGTCTATGAGCTCTGGTGACCACTTAACACCAGCCGCGAGCTCGTCCACCCAAGTAATATAAAAAAAATATAAAGAAACTAAGCTACAACGGCTACCCCGCACTTCGAACCCATTAATGCTTCACGGCAGAAATGGTGGTACCTACTTCTGCGGACTCACAAGACTTCCTACCACCAGTGATAAGATGTATATTCAAACGACAATCTCGCATTGAAGCTCATCTACCACGTTACATTTGATTACGGGTACAATGTGCCCGTCTAATTACAGCACTGTGACGCGTATGCGACGTCAGAGTCCCACGCAGAACCGTGTGAAACCAACGCGTTGTTCATGAAATGCGCTTCTGTAAACGCGATCATCTAACTACGGCACTAGAAGCGATAGAAAGAAAAAGGAAGGAATATTTAAAAATTAAAATTTTAAACAGATTCCTTGATCTTTAGAATTTAATAATTTTTATATTCGAAACGTTCTCTTTGTCTTTTCTTTTTGTGTAAAATCTTTAATCGTAATTTATCCTGTTTTTTTTTTTTTGGTGTCTGCTAAATTTAAGATCGATAAATATTTACGGTACGGAACAACCCCATTTTAGGGTGAGTTCGTTTTGCAGAGATCCAGGCCGGTCGGAAGCGGGTCAAAGGCAAGGTCGGCAGGGAAAGCGGCCGCGGTGCCCGCTTGTAACCCGACACCGCGTTACGTCACAGCCGTGCCGTGCGCACCGCCCGGACGTGGTCCACAGAAGTGAACCAGTACCCAATATCGTGTTGATACGTAAAGTAAATACGGAATACAGGATTAGAATTAAGTAGCATACATCGATATCCAACAATGGCATTTTATTGTAACTAGTAGTCCCCGGTAGTCGAAATTCGACTATAATTAATTGAAATTATAAGTTTGTACATTATTATGATTCTATTGTCAAAGACTAATAAATTTCTTTAATCAAGGATTTCGCCAAGTCTACGTACACTTTAGACAAATATTAATAAAGACAAAAGAATATTTAATCTATTCTCAATTTTACCACAGACTTATAACTCACAGACTGCAATAAGACAAGTTTGACAATAAACAAATAGTATGCATGCGTGTGTGGTCAAATACATGGTAGTCTG